GTGGTTTCGTTTGACGGGTCTGCGAAGACTGAGAAGAACGGAGGATACGGGAGTTGTGCGTGGGTGGTATGGCGTCTTCCTGAATGGACGATAGTGCTTGCTACGAGTGCGTACCTGGAGTCAACAACTGTGAACGTCGCAGAATACACCGGGACGAACAATGGAGTAAGCGCAGCATTAGGACGGGTGCCGACAAATTAGTGGGTGTGGGTGACTCCAGGCTTGCAATCCAACAATCCCTAGGGGTGATTGCATACCGAAAGGAGACGCTCATGGCCCAATTGAACCACCACAAGGAGCTGACGTCAAAGCTGAAGTCAGTTAAGTACCTTCACATTTTGAGAGAATTCAATGCAGCCGCAGACTCACTAGCGACGGAAGCACTGGAATCGAAGATATCAAAAGTGGTGTTAGACGAAAGCCGAAAACTCGAGTTGGCAAGCCTCAATCGCATTTGAGAAGTGATCTACGACTCCAGCCAAACCCGAATTGAAGTAAAACCAGTTGCTGAAGACTCAACTCGAAGAATTAGCACAATCGCAGCCTCTCAGTACAACCCATTTGCTGCCTTCGCCCAGACAACTCAGAAACAATCAACACGCTATGTATCAGCGGTGACAAGAAGCCAAACAATAACTCAGAAGAAGCGAGTAAATTTTGCCGACGATTCAGAAGCAACTCCTGAAACAGTCATGCCAAAACCAATGTCGACAGAAGACACAGGAAATGCAACAGTAAAACCTGCGAAGACTGGGGCAAACCCACTCAGTGAGGTCCCAGACGCAAGTGACGTTGACCCAGCAGCGATACAATCAGAGCGGCGACGGAGAATTGCTATCGCTCAAGATGAATATCTAAAATGGATCAATCTGAAAATGGTTTTACGAGGAAACTCCGACAAGCTCAAGTATAGAGCTGCCCGAGCTGCGTGGAAGATTGCAGAACGATTTCTCTTGACTGACGACAATGTGCTGTATTATATGAACTCGACTCCGCAGAACCAACAAGACAACCAAGAGGAATTGAGACTGCGACTGGTAGTCCCAACCACGATGATTCAAGAAGTTCTTCAAAATAACCATGACTCATTGGAAGGTGGACACCAAGGTGTAGTCAGGACATATCAACGCGTGAAGCAAGATTATTATTGGTTTGGTCTGTACACAGCCGTTGAAAACACGTGAAGTCATGTCCGGATTGTAGTTCAAGTAAGAGCAAGCCACAGTTGAGAGGGTATTCCCCTGGCAACATTCTCGCCGAAAGCCCATTCCAGATTGTCTCGATGGACTTCGTGATCCCACTGCCGAAATCTCGGCGAGGCAACACGGCGCTACTGCTATTCCAGTGTGCTTTCACTGGTTTCGTCATCGCTAAACTGATGTCGGACACTACAGCATTCAAAGTCGCACAAGTATTTGAAGAATGCATTTACCGAAGGTTTGGAGCACCGTCGTTAATAAGACACGATAGGGATCCCCGCTTTATGAGCGAAGTATTCCAAGCGTTTGCCGAGATGATGCAGTCAAAATCAAGAGCTACACTGAGTTATCGGCCACATGCCAATGGGCAGCAAGAAAGATCAGTTAAGACGGTGATGCAGTCCGTAAAGGTCTCTGCCGAAGACCCGCTTCAGCAAGACTGGGACGAGATCACAGAGCATCTAGTCTTCGCCATCAACAACTCAATGGACACCACCAGGAAGGAAATACATTTCTACTTAGGTCACGGATGGGATGCTAGCCCAACAATGAAAGCAATGCCGACGTCTCTTAGACACGGAACTCCAAGACAATACGAAGCCTTAGCGTGGAGACGAGAAGTCAACCGACAACAGGAAGTGGTGTGGCGAATGGCCCAAGAATATTAGCATATTGAAAGGCACGAAGAGCTAGACTTCACAACAACGCACTGAGTAAAGTGGAGAAAGCATCATTGCAAAATGAGGAAGCAGAAAGTCTCGACGCGTCAAGACGGCGAGGACTCAACTACCAAATCGATCGCGAGCAAGAAAAAGTTATTCGAAGAAGGAAGTCGAGCGTGGCTCTACATGGAGAGAGTCAAACCAGGGCTCACGAAGAAGCTCACTGATCGGTGGTACGGACCATTTCGTATCAAGAAGAAAGTAGATGAATTCGCTTTCGAATTGGAGCTCCCAGACAAGAGCGGCTACCGTTTCTATCCAGTAGTGCGCTGAAACCAGTAAACGAAATCTCTAGTCGACCTACGACTCTACTCGCACCTGCGATAGCTGAAAACTCACGAATGGATTTGGATGAAGCGTTCCTTCCCGAAGATTCATTGGAACCAGACCGCATTGCGGGAGAAGATGAAGTAGAGGTCATTCTGGATGACTGAAGACCACTTCAAACCGGTACCGAAAAGTCGGTGAGAGAATTCAAAGTAAAGTGGGTCGGGTATAACGAACTAACATGGGAACCAGCGTCACATCTCTCCTGCGGTGGACTCCTTTACGGCTACCTGCAGCGGAAAAAGAGTGAACACTGTTTCCAGATGGTTCAAGTGGCGGACGAAAACTAGCCACCATGTCAACCAGTGAAATGATCTGAAGTCTGGGGCAATGCAGCCCAGAATGTACAGACGAAAACAGCTACTGCATCAATTTGCATAATTACAAGATATGACTTATGAACGCGAAGATTAAGTGGAAAAGTGGAATTAAGAAAGAAAACATTATTCAAGCCGACAACTCACTACTCCGAACTACAGGCCTCAACGGGACGGCAAAATTCAAATGATCTGAGTAGACGAAGCTTCGTCTTCGTCCTCAATAATTGAGGGAGGTTCCTCGATCTCGTCTTGATCCGACTCTTCTTCTTCAGAGACCTCATCGTCCTCTTCACGAGAAGTCGGCACTGGATCCTCAGTGTCCTGAGTAAAATCAGTGTCCTTGGCCCGAGCCATGAGACGATCAAGCAGTAACAACTCAGGAGGATCGGCAGGCTCGGCCAAGTTTTCGGGAGCAGGCTGCGATGGCGTTTCAGGATCCCTCTCATCTTGGCTTCCATTTCTGTAGTTGTGACCCCCGGGACTCCGACATTAGCTTCGTCGATGTTACACTCTGGGGTCGGTTCCTCCGTTTTCGGGAGCATGATAAGTTGGTCTCGTAACTGTGCCATCAAATCTCCTTCCCTGAGATGTACGGCAGGTTCCAGATCCAGTTCTTCAGCAGAGAATCGCATTACTCGAGCATATCCTGCCTCCAGCCTTTGGACAGGTGTCGAACAGCTCGTCTGTGACTGGACATCCACTGACGGTTCAGGGACCTGAGCGTCATTCCCGACATCTGCCATACTCTCTGGGTCACGGGTCTCAACTTCTGGACTCAAGTCAGGATGGGTCTGTTCTGCCGGCTCAGAACGAGTCTCAGGTTCCTCGGGGTCTCTCGCGACCGTGTTCACGACGACCGACGAATTCCCGATGATCTTGAGCGTCATGTCCAATGGTTTCGGCTTTTCCTGCAACTTCACCATCTTCCTTCAGCGGCTTGCGGCTGTGGACGCACTAAGAGCTTAGTAGTCCACTGATATCCCTGAGTCTGGGTGCACGGAGGCTCCCTTTCCCTGAGAATCTGCTCCAACCGTTCAGCACGCATCCTTGCTTGGCGTGACACGGTACACTCATGGATCAATTGTTGCCATTCTTCATACCGCGCTTTACCAGGACGAGCGAACCCAGGCTGTCCTGGGAACTGTCCATACTCCATAATACGCGCCACCGCAGTCCTAGTGTCGATCCAAACATTCTGGTCTGAAACATTAACAACCTTGACGGCAGTCTCCCAGGATCTGCAGAGTACAGGATCTTGGTCACTAGTTTTTTCCTCTCCCACCCCACACCAACTCACGTTGATGGTTGGACTGGCCATATCGAATTCGTACCATAGCATCCTGACCAGGACGCAGGTGTATGCTTTCCTCTGGGCACACAGGGAGGTCCATACCACGGGACTTGGGATCATTATCATACATCACCACAGTCTCTTCGTCTGGCAGCTTGACTAAGCCTTCTCGTATGCAGAGTCGGACACCTGCCGAATGCATAAAGTTCATGCCTAGTAGAACATCAACACCTTCTCCAATACTTCCAACCCAGATGTTCAGGACGTACACCATACTCCATCCGAGAGTTGTCTTCACTCGGGCATGAGTAGTAATGTAAGTGGTCACTCCTCCTAAACCAGAGACTTTGATTTGACGGTGTGTCCGGAGCTTGAGTTTGAGTCTACGCGCTAGATCAAGACTCATAATGCTCACGGACGCACCAGTGTCCAATAAGATTCTGGTTCTGGAGTCGTTCCCAGCTCCATGTATCGTCGCCAATCCATCCATGTCCATGCATGTCTCCATGTTCGTGATTTTCCCACCATCCATACCTCTGACCCGGTTTCAACGGCACTTCCAAGGGATCCTGAGATTCGGGCTCAGAGATCTCTGGAATCGGGTCATCTGAACGCTGGTACTCTGAGTACGATTGTTCAGGGTAGATGATTTCATCTTGAACTAAATTCATGCACCGTTGGTTATCTTGTAGCTGCGTCCTTCGTTCTGGTCCTATACAGACTAACACACACATTTCAGGGGGGTTCTTAGGCCCGTCGCGTACCGGATCCCCATCCGGCGGGCTTATTGGTTTAACTGCTGCGCCCCTGAAGTATGATCCTTGGTCTGAAGGAGACTTCGAAATTGAGTCGGTAAATCACTTGCATTTCCTTGCTTCGCCAGTGATATCACTGACTGGAAAGCTTTCCATTGTTCACACGATATTCCACCGTGAAAACCTCCACATTCAGCACAAGGGGTTCTGGTGCAGACTCTGGCCGGGTGTCCCTTGCCTTGGCATCGTTCACATATCATTCCGGTCCAACTGTTGACTTCAGGATGCCCCCACTTCCTACACTTCTCACAGAAGACGTCCCAATTTTCTGGTCGTGTTGCACCCTGACCCGAATGTGGGTTGGGTGACTTCCAATGTTGGTTCTCTGCGACTCGAAACACTTCTCCATCAATTCCACCATTGGGGAACTCTGAGATCGGCTTTGAGTGCGCCTCTGCTTGATCTGCGAACACTTCAGGACTCTGAGACTCGTATTGGAACTCTGAGTCCTTCGGTGGTTCAGCATCGCTTTGAGTCATGAAAGCACGTCCCTGACGTCTAGTCGGTCCACGATTCTGA